AACGATATCCCATTGTGGAATACCTACAAATATTCTGACAGAATTTTCATCTAGTTTCTTCTTTGCAAGGTGGCACTAGAGTATAAGCATCACAGCCAAATACACGAATGTTTTAAATCAGGATTTTCACCATACTTCAGAAATAAGGAACATGATTTCAATTGAACTATTGGGAGTCGATTATTTATGTAAGCAGCCGTAAGTACTGCTTCACCCCAAAGAAATTTTGGTAATTTTGCCTCAAGTATCATTGCTCTAGCTTTTCCAGTCAGTTCTATTTGCTCGTTCAGCAACACCATTTAGGAAAGGTGTATAGGGAGGTGCAGGATCTATTTTTACACTGCTCTTTTAGCAACTTCATGCAATTCTCCACTGACATATTCTTTGGCATTGTCACAGCGCAGTTTTGCAACAGTTGGATTCAATTTAAAGAATAGCTTGAGTTCATCAGCAATGTCACTTTTTCTTTTGAACAGTCGATTTCCATAAATCTCGAATAGTCATCAATTATAGTCATGAAATACCTTTCCCCATGGAGTGTTTGAGGTAATTGGACCACATATATCAGTGGTATAGTTATAAGCGGTTTTGGATTCTTTTATGCGAGGACCCTTTCCTATAGGCAAAGCACTTTGTTTGGCACGAACACATACTTCACAAAAGGATCCTTTTGTAGGAAGATTCATTAGTTTTAATTTTTGATCACAGCAGTGTCCTAATCTTCTGTGCCATAAATCATCATTCTTTACTGCTAAAGCTGTAAATAGATTTGCTGAAAAATCACTAAAATATTGTCCGCATTTGTCCAAAATATCCAAATCTAAAACGCTTGTTTTTGTGTTCAATGTAAACAATTTATTTAAAAAAATTACGCTTAAACCTGCTGTTTCAATATTTTTGACGGAAATTAATTGTCCGTTTATTGTTAAAATTGTTAGTTTTGGAACGTAAAGATAATCTTTTAACATTATTTCGACACCATTCTTAGTTTTACCGAAAATATCACCAATTCCTTCTACTTCTAAAACCGCCAACTTAGGCGCGCACTTAACAGTTCTAGTCTTGAGCTTAATTGAGGTAAACCATTCCTTGTGAGAAGACATATGAGAAGTTGCACAAGAATCAATAATAAATTGATCATGCACAAGATTTCTAGCCATGAAAGATATTGCAGGCGATGCATACTTGTTACTATTTGAATTTGCCTGCTTTTTAGAATTATCAAAACATTCACTTTCGAAATGACCAGTTTTCCCACAGTTATGACAGACGCAGTTCTTTTTTCCTACAAAATTTAACAGAATGTCCTTTTCTTTTACAATAAGTACACAAAACAATTCTTTACGAGCACTAATAAAAACAGAGTTATCCGTATTCGGTTTAGAATACTTTTTTCATTTTTATAATCAAACATAAGAGAATTCACAATCAGTAAGTTCTACTTGTAACAAAATCTAAACTCAAATTATTGCCTTGGCTGATTCTTCTAGAGATGCCTTAATATTTTCATATTCTTTTGGCAAAGACATTAAAATGTAAATAATATATCAAAATCGCTTACTTTCAGAGCCAGAGACGCGTAGACTACTACTCACCAGGTTCATTATGCTGTCTCATTGACACATCCTTGGATTTTTCCTTATGGTAGCTAGACGTTTACAACGTTTAAAATTTGACTCACTGCACCTTTAGCGCTATACGTAGCTTGTAGTTTCTTCTTCCATATTTTACATGCAGTGTCTTCACGTTGAAGAGAAGCAATAACATTATCACTTAGAAGGGCAAGTATTAAGGCATAAGCCTTTTTTGATTTCAAAACATCTGCAACTCTGTCCGCAACTGCTTCAGTTTCCAAAAACGTATCCAATTCCCTTGCCGTAAATACTGCTCGAACTCTTCGACACCAAACAGTAAAGTTATTAACACCGTCAAATGGCGCTACACCAAAAACTTTCCTTTCACCTCCGGAAAAAGCCATCATTCACAATATACCAAATCAAAATCATGCGAACGATAAATTATTACACTGAAGGTTCAATTAGGGAACTATCGGCAAATTCTAACTTTTGAAGGAACCGCGCTCTGCTGTTAAACATAGAAAATGCCATGGTTCGCAAAGCAAATATTTATTACCGAGATATGCAGAGATACACGCAGTTACATGCAAGCAGAAATAAGTACGTACAAGCACTAGCTACAAGCACAGATAAGTAAGTACAAGCAGAATAATACAAGCACATATAAGTAGAAGCAGAATAATACTAAGCAGCGATAAGCGGTTACAGAGGTCATATATATAACTTCACAACAGATCATGGTTTAACAAATCATAAACAAGACACAATAAATAACCAATCAAAAATAACATACAGAATGAGATTTAAGTTTCAGAATAACTCGGACCTGGCTGAAAGCTAATGAATGTTTTGGACTTGACAGAAAGCTATACTTCCTTTTAACCAGTAAGATGAGATTACAAATATCTCAACACGAATATACTTATATATACCCACTAAAGAAGTCCATATTTGTAATACTCAGACTATATTATAGAAAATGTTGCAACAACGAACTATTAAATTTAGATTGCAAAAGGAAATTTTAAATTTTACTTACAAAAGGAATTACAGCAAACTATACATCATATGAAGCCATCAAAATCTGATTCTTCACTTTCTGAATTAAAAAGATTTAGTAAATCCTGATCTAAGTCCAAGTCTTCCAGATCGTCACATTCATCCTCTTGGTTTACAGTCTCTTTATCTAAAGATATAATTTCAGCTTCTTTGAATCCTGTTATTATTGACGATGATTTTACCGATTTCCACGCACTTCCTACCCACTTTGCAACTTCTTCAAAAGATTCTCTACGCATTTTGCCGATTTTGGTATATGTATGCAATCCTTCACTCGTCCAACACTCCCACCGCTTTCGGACTTCACCTTTGAAAGATTTATTACCTGACAAATCTAATGGTTGTAAGATTTTTGTCAAACCACCAGGAATTATTGCTACGGTCGTAGACAATTTTTGACATCTGGTTTTCACCGACTCAAACAAATGAGCACGCATGGAATCCATTATCAATAACCCTTTTGGTTGGAAAAAAGATCCCTTACAACACTGCCAAACTTTTTGTAGCCACTCATGCATGATTGTTTCGCACATCCAGCCGTTCTCGTTTGCACAAATAATTACGTCATTAGGAAAATCTCCCTTCGGAATAGTTTTCCGTTTAAAAATGATCATCGGCTTTAGCTTGTCACCGCTTGCGGCACAAGCTAACACACATGTAAATGACGTTCTTTCATGCCCCATCGTAAGCACAGATACAGTTTTTGCACCAGTTTCATCAACAGTTCTGTTTGCAGGAGAGTCGAAAGCTAACGGCGTTTCATCCATATTTATTATCTGTGACCGAAGAAGTTTTTTTTCTTTTTGTCAATAATATCTGTCACATATTTTAGAAAGATGCCTTTTTATCCTGCCAGTCCATTGGTAATTGTTGCCCGACTGTTGTTCTAGTACGCACAGAAATATTTTTTCTTTTCATAAATCTGCTACACCAGCAAGGCCCTCCTTTGAAATCATTTATGTTCATTTGCTTTTGCTATAAATTTTGCTTGTAAGCGAATTTTTACAGTCGAAATTGCCATTCCTTTTTTCGTTGCTCCTTTATCCAGTTTGCAAGGTCGTCCTCTAGATTTGGCCACCTTACGATACCACTTTTTTTGCTCGTTTCTGTTGTGGCATATTTTTAAGTTCTTCTTTGTCAGTTCTCCAACATCGAATACATCTCTCGTCCACTTTCAAACTCTCGAAGCTACTGCTCTATTTCCAATGTGTCAGCACATGAAATTACATATTAAGCTTAAAACCAGCAGTATAGCTTCTGTGCCGTTTAGGTACCATTTTAAAAAAAATTTCCGCTCTAAAAACTATCGAACAAGTACTTTTAAAGTTTAAAAACCCAAAGTTAAAACTATCCACAAGTATTGTACCCAAAACTGATGGGATCTGTTTCTGGCAGAATGCCAATAAAAAATCATTTCATGCTGAAGGGAAAATACCTCAGAGTTCGTTATTGTGAGGCAGGTGGAGTCATGTCCGCCTTTGAAAAAAATTGCAGAAAAGGCAGGGGTGGAGAGAGGATGGTTCCTGGAAGATTCATCGAATGGCAGAGGAGAGAGACTATTCAAAATGATGAGAATGCTGATTTCAAAGGAGGAAGAATGTTATTGTTCTGAGATCCCGTTTAGGATGAATAAGGCATGCAGGTCCTTTCAAGGAAAAGAATGTAAACAAAATAACGTTCGCAAAAAGCAACTGAGTGGTCTTTTGTGTTGGAATAACTGAGTGGTCTTTTGTGTTGGAACAACTGAGTGGTCTATGTAGCATGACAACGCCATCCAAAGTATGTACAATGACAAAGTTATTCAAACTATGCACAATGACCATCAAAGGAAATATTTTATTTTTAGTGCACCTAAACGCCACACCCGCTGAAAATTTAAATTTTAAACATGTAAATGCCGTGGCCTTTCTTCCGGAAATTATGGTAGTACCACTGAGCACTTAATCTCAGGTTCAGTTTTGAGTAGATCTATTGATTGCATCAGGTTTTTATGATTTTCCGCATATACAGTGTGAATACAAGTCAAAAAGCAAATAGCCCTCATATGCGATATTGATTAAATCAAAGTTCTGTCTATTACTGAATTATTTAATTGCTTTTCTAAATGAAAAGTACAGGATGTATAGAGTTTTTCCAAATGCTACATGCCTAAAGCAATATGCTTTGCAAATACTAATTAGACACATAATATGTATATTAACCCCATAGAATTAATCATAAATAATTCTCATTTGCAAAAATATCATTATTGCTCTCTGTTGATTCATATCAGAGAGTAATTATTGGAAGTCCCCTCTTTTAAGCACTTTGAATCGTGGGGATAGTTTTAGATTATATTCTAATAGCTTAATAATTGTTTTATAGGAGATGAATTAAGTGATTTGATGGCAGAAATTCTAGAAACAGCCCAACACGAATACAATGATTGTGATGAGGATGATGAAAATGCTGTATATAAAAGGTAGTGTAAAAGGGCTGTCTTGACATATCCTTTTGCTTGTTTTCCTTTTACCTTTTTTTAGTCAAGAAAAACTTGCTGTAAAATAACATTTTCTTTGTTAACCTGTTTTCTACAGTAGCTGCCATTTATAGCATTTAAAACATGACAGAATTGTTCTCTTTTTGTCTGCTGTGTACTGTGTAGTTACCCGATATAGTATTGCAAATGCAAATGATCAAAACTGAATATATATCCTGCCTGCCTCAAACTTAACAAGACTACCTTTCAGCAGGATAATGTTAATTGCCTTGATTTACAGATTTTGAACTACAAAGTACTTAAAATTTATGATCAAAAGAGATAATTTAATTTTTATACAATTAAATTCATTAATTGGCATTTCATCATTTCCAAGAAAGTTATTCTTACTTCTATCCATTTTCAAATTCTTAGAATTAAAAAAATTTGCAATAAAATTGATAAATTTCAAGAATTACAAATCTTAATAGATCTTCTCTTGCAAAATCAAGTTCCGAAATTTGATATTTGTCGAACATTAAAAAAAGCTTGCTTTAATTACAATTTTTAAATTATTTGTTTATAGTGTGATTATTGTTAATCAAACCTATTAGAGGTGTAGGAGGACTTATATTCGTAATTTATTGTGAATATGTATTTGTTATGTTTTTATCATCACTTTATGTAAATATTCTTTTATTATACTTTTATCCACTGTATCAGATTATTTCCTGTTTATTAACAAAAGAGCCTTTGCTTATTTCCTAAGACTTATTATAGCTCGATTACGTGAAGACTTATGTTTTTTCACTATTCTTTTGTTTTCTGTAACTGTCTTTTTCACTATTTTTTTTTTTTTTTGTATTCTGTAACTGTTAGCCAGATTTAGCAATTAATCTTATAATTATGCTGCCATCTTGTGTTTTGTTATGCCTTCATGAAAAGGATGCCATTTTTTTGTTCAATTAACATTTCCTGTTCCTCTGAGGGTGACATACTCCACCCCCTTCCCACAATTTGTCTCACTTCCAAGTTTCCACCAATAGATTTTTGACACGTACATGCAGAATAGAACGTCTGTAAGCTCCATTACTATTTGTTACCAAGATTCTTGCTCCCCCTTTTTTTCCACAGCAAAGTTTCTGATCTTTCTGTTTGGTATGCCAACGAGCAGAGGACCACAATCTTTGGTAACCTTACTATGCATGACTTTTACTATTTGAAAATTTACTGCCATTTTGGGTGTTTGGACCTTTTGAGGTACTATGAGATGCTGATGTAAGTTTATTTTTCCTATATTTTGTTTGTTTATATAAATATTCTTTTATTTAACTTTTAGCTACTCTATCAGATTCTTTCCTATTTAATAACAAAAGGGCGTTTGTTTATTTCCTTAGACATATTATTGCTTGATTACGTGAAGACTTATCTTTTTTCACCATTTTTTTTGTTTTCCGTAACTTTTAGCCAGATTTAGCTCTGGCTGCAATTAGTTCACAATTAAGTTTTAAATGTTTTTGCTTCATAGCATGACTTGTCCATTAAAAAAAGTCTCAAAATATTCAAAACAGCCCTGTTGTTATTTTTGTAACTAGGACACCTGGACACAATCGTCTTGTCCATAAATTCATAGCAATTTCTTTTTACTTATTTTAGTAGTTTTTCTTTGATCTGTATAGTAATTTTGTGCTTTTGAATTTTTGCAGTAGTTTAGTAGGTTTCATTATTTTTGCTTCAGTTTTTACTACGTTTTATTATATGGTGTATGTTTGTTTTCTCTGAGTATGAATGCATGTAAGGGATTGATCTGAACTCATTTGAGACTTATGATTGTTATTATATTAAATATTCTGAAATTGAAGCATAATGATTTTATGTCTTAAATGGTCCAGAGGAACGAAACGTATTTGAAACTCATTAAACAACCAAATTTAAAGTTTCAAACACACTTCCCTTCAATCCTCCCAAGTTCTGTTTGAAACGTTAAACAAGGGAGATTTAGTAACTTTTTTTTTGTCAATCATTATAACAACTATTGGCAAGGTTTCTGAGTACTTTCAATTTTGTTTTAATGCTTTTACTTCATTTTTGATACACCTTTTAATTTGTTTTCTTCATATTTTCCTGTACAGAATGTTTTATGCTATGACTTCACCGCTTTTTCTTTAGATAGTATAACAGGGTTCGTAGCGGTTCTTACAAGTGCATATAAGTCCTTATATTTTTTAAAATATAATATAAAGGCCCTTATAGGTGCTTACTTTTTCTTTAAAGCGCTTATTTTTGCTTTTAGTGCTTTTTTTTTTTAATCCTTTGTTTTTAATGAACGCGAATTTTTTCACCGTACCAAAGCCGAAACTAAATAAACAAATTTTCTTCCTTATATGCAACGTCAGATGGTGAATCATACTCCCGGAAATTGCTATTCCCCCCTTCCTCTGCATTAACGTAACCTATAATGCGCGTGAGAGTACAGATAGGTGCACGTCGTTCTATTGGCCAAAGAATTGCGAAAACAGTAGAAATTTCTGGTACATTCGATATTCTTTTCCTTCCACCCAAATACTACACACGTTTGAATTTCTATCAAGATTTTAATAATTTGCATTCTCGTTCCACGGGGTCAGTTCATATTCATGTTTATTATGAGCATATGTATGAATATTTATAATAATATATTTGCAGTAACTGCTGAAGTATAGATAAACTTCCAAAAATGGGTGTGCTTTTACACAGATTTGCTTTCTAAGGAATAATATTCGGAATGGCTTAAATAAAAGGAAAGTAATCGAATAGTCAAAATAATTTCATTTTCTTTGCCAATACATTATAACATTATACAGTACGGAGGTTGGGAGTTTCTCTGCAAAATCTCTAATATTGAAGCAGTGGACTTTTTTTTTGTCACTGTCCAATCTGGATTGAATAGGACTAAAAGTTTACCCAACCCAACCCAAGCGAAGAATGATTCTATTCCGAAAATTTAATACAGTCTGTTGAAAATTAAAAGTCTCTTTCTTTTCCTTTATTTAGTTCTTTATTCTCCAAATACCGGCAGGTGTTGATTCCGATTGCATAATATCACATATGGAAGAATTACGCCACACGTATTGCGCAATAACATTTGCGGTATTTTGCAGAGATAATTAATTTTGATGTTCAGTGTGAGATTTGTTTATGAACACTTAAAAGAGTTTTACTGTGCTTTCTAAGCAGAATATTTCTCAGTTCCGTTGGTCTATTTTTATATGATGCACATATCAAAATGTCAAAATCATTTATTTAGCCTAAATTTAAATCTAAAGAACAGCTACAATCTTCCCCATTCCTCTTTTTCCACTTACAATCCGTAATATTCGGGAATTTCCGAGTATGCGGGTTAGTTAAGCTTTTACTGTTAAAGGATGACTGAATGAAGCAATTTCCCGTCTTCTGATTTTAGAAATATGTCTCTTTTGTACTTAAATTACTTTGCTTGGAATATATGTGAAGGGAAAACTGTTATGCAATGAAAATTTAGAATATGTTCGGAATTTTGATTTAAGTTAAATTATTTAAATATTAATATGAGTAGAAAATAAATAGTATTTATTATTAGGTGCCAAACGAATACAATTAATATGGCTTATTATTATTTATTTTCTATATTTTCAATTGAAATATCATCATTAAATCTTGTAATATAGTTTAGTTCTGCATAGTTTTTTTCCCTCTCATTGTAAACTAATTCTGTAAATTGAACTGTCATTTAAAATTTAAAAAAACGTTAATTGTTTTCCATTGTTGAGGTAATGCTCATTCTCTTAATAAATATTGCATTGCTCATATTTTAAATTACAAGTCTAATTTTTCGTTTAAGGTTATGCAGTTGTGTATAATGTAACTAGACAGGTGCTTATTTTTTCCTTAAAACGTGCTTGAAAAGTGCTTATAGGCGCTTATTTTTTTAAAATAAAATGTGGCTATGAACCCTGTATAATTAGGATTCCTTTTCGCACTTAACCTTGAATTTGTGTGTATTCACCTTTTTCCTTCACTTGAAATTGATTATGTATACCTTGCAGCTTTAGTGCAGGATACTTAATTTTATTTTTCCTAGTTTCTACTGCCAACGCTTATTTATGTATATATATTATATATATACACACTTAGTTCTTAGAGGTTTATGTATATATATATAATCAAGAGATAATAGTTAAATCAATACTGGTGTAAAATTAACTAACAAGAAAAATTTAAATAAAATTTGAAACGAAAATAAAACAACAAATTAAAATTCTTTGGGGTTCCGTAAGGAGCAGCTGAAAATTTTCAACAGAACTACATTTCTGAATTATAGCTGGATAATTATCAAAATAAAGTTCAAGGAATAAATCAAAAGGTGAGTGTTCAAAATAAATAATTTCAAAGTAATTTTAAATAAAATGAAATAATAGTGTAAAGTCATTAAAAATTTTTAAGTTTCATTGTTGTCATTATTGAATTGTCATTAAAGAATACTAATAAAAAATAAAATAATTTTTTTGTCATCAAGATATAACCTACTCTGTTGTTACTCTAAGCAAATCATAAAATACAAAATTAAGGAGTTTAAAATAGAATTTTCAAATGTAGAAACCAGAAAAGCAAGTCAATAATTTAAAAAAGCAGTTTGGAAAATTAGTAAGCTTCCAAGAAATGTTTAATTAAAGAAAGGGCAAAACTGCTAAATAACTTGTAAAACAGAAGTAATTAAATTTTAAAATTCAAATTTCAGAAATGAAACCAGATTACTCTAGAAGGTAATTTATTGAAAAATAAAGCAAATAAGAATCTGTTAAGGTCGTTTCTGCATTAAACAAAAGTAAGTTTCAAAAATGAGGAAATAGAGAAAAAAGCAAATTAATGAAACGAATGCAGTAAGCTTAAATTTGGCTATGGTAATAAAATGTAACTGAGATATAAATCATTATATCTCAGTATAAGCCAAATTTTATATCAAAAATTTTATGTCAAATTTAAATAGCCAAATTTTATATCAAATTATGTAAAAAATAGCCAAATTTTATATCAAATTAAATAAAAAATAACTAAATTTTATATCAAATTTGGACAAAATTTCAAATTTGATATAAAAGAATTAATTAATAAATTGAATGAAATATGAAAAAGGAAATGAGAAACCTTTACAGGGGGAATTTTATTCATGACTTTAATAAAATAATAATCTTAATTTTGGAATATCTAAACTCTTGATTATATATATATATATTGATAGAGAGATGGGTGAAGCAGAAATAAATGCTAAAATATTAAAGCAAAAACACACACTGGCCAATGAATTAGAAACCCAAGATCAATATTTTATTGGACCACCTTTTGCACAAATTCGTTTGGGTAGCGAGTCTACATGCTTTTGGAGAGCTTTTATGCCTAGGATGAAAGAGGAGAGTGCTGTTGGATATGTCTTTCCACCACATCCCACACATTTTCCATTAGGTTAAGGTCCGGGCTATGCGGTGTCCAGGAAAGGTGTTGGAGGTCAGGCTGATGTTTAGCGAACCAATTTTGACCACTTCTGGCTCAATGTATAGTTGCATTATCATCCATGAAGTGTCTGTCACCATCAGGATAAAAATGCAACATTGCAGGGTGCACTTGATCTGCCAGTGTATTTAGGTATCTCATGGCTGTTTGTTTACCCTCGAAGAACATCAGCACACCACTTCCATGCCAGCAGAACATGCTCCATATCATGATACTCCCACCAGACCCTTGCACAGTGCAAGTAAGGCAAGATGGGTTCATGGCTTCCTCAACAAAATTTATGTCTTTCATCGGTGCACACCCTTGCACAGTGCAAGTAAGGCAAGATGGCTTCATGGGGTTTTCAACAAAATCAATGTTTTCCATTGGTGCAAAATAAAGTGTAGCGTGATTCATCCAACCACATTACTTGTTTCCAGTCCTCGAATGTCCAGTGTCTTCTTTCGCGACACCACCGCCAACGAATTCTTTCATATCGGATAGAAATGAGTGGTTTTTCTATGCATTCTATTAACTGATTCTATTAACTTCTATTAACTAATATGCATTCTTATCAGGCACCCGACTATGCATTCTTATTGTCTGCTATTCTCTGCGCATGGTTCAAGCTGAAATCTGTTGGGAAGAGCCTTGGTTTACGATCTGTGTCAGCTGAAGCACAGTATTCGTGTTCAGCCATACATTTCGTCGGAGACGCCGCCAATCACTCTCTTGGAAAACTGTGCTTTAATCCACATTAACGTCTTCCAGAG